TGACAGTTTGTCTTATCTTGTCCCTCATAGAATTTGTGAAGATGATGACTTCAAAGTAAATTATTACTTTATTTGGATCATTCAAGCACTGCCAAACCCACTCTGGTGTAATATATTTCATGAAACATGCATCAATGAGTACAACAGTTTACAACCAAGAGTATAACAGCCTCTACTTAAACAGCAATGTCCATAGATAGCAAATAACAGTTTAAAAGTTTAGTGTAAACACTGTAGTATTATAGATACCTGTGATAAATTCTCCTGTCATACATGTATGTTGTACTGTGCTCTATTTCTCTAGACGTTTTAAGACCTTTTTGTGTTGTTGTTAGACAATTAAAATGTTGATAACATCTATTGTGTCATGGCGGTTTTTGTTCACAAGACTAGTTCATTCAGGCAAACCTCCATCAATGAACAACTCTCCTAAGAAGCAATGTACAAATACTGCATTTGTAACCCAACTCCTCCCCAGTTAACTTCAACAACCAAACCCACCAGTCAGAGTTTTGTCTGCATGAAGAGGTGGCAACATGGTACAGAATGCAGTGTTTGTCTGGGAAGACAACGGTGTTGAATTCCACCAACATTAAAAGAAAAGAAACATTTTTGGAATAGTGCAAAACATTGGACCTATTTCATGGGTAAAAAAGGAGGAGAAGACCCCTTTAACCCCTGCCCTCCATATTGTCCTGTTGAAAACAGCACGGCGGGATGGCATGTAAACTTGATCTCTGCATGCACTGCGGGCCTATGAACAAGCCGGTCAAGTGCTGGCTTTCTCAGTAGTTTGTGGAAGATTCACGTTGTGATTAACAGGTGTCTAATATTCAAGCCAAGCGGTCTACTAACCTTAGGTGCAAGTAATTTTGGAGCAGATTAAAAATCAGTGGTCGTGAACCACTTTCTTACCTACCCCATCTGATGACGCTTGGCCAGTCACGCACGTCCTTCTGAAAATACTGTGTTGCGTGACATGACCCATGCCTGCAAAACGTGTCAGGTTTTAGGCAGGAAAAAAGAAAACTTTGCCAACAATCATTGGTGAAACATTTTTGGCATTATTAATTGCAGCCATATGAGCAAACGTCAACCCTGAAAGTAAAAGGCAGTGGGAACAAGCGACTGTTGTTCCCTTCGGATCGAGATTACCGCTCACCGGCGGATCCTGAGCGCAATAATTAAGTCTCCATGTCTTTATATTTCACACGTGTCCTAGGCGTTTTTGGCCATTTTATGCGGTTGTCGTCTCTATGTTCCACATAAGTGAAACTCGCTAGAATCCCGCACGCCAAAAAAAACAAAAAACATGCACTAAGTACTGTAATACATGGCATGGGGACAAGGAAAAGGCCTGGGCCAGTTCCAAAACGGAGATCTTACACATTAGCAAGAGGTTTTTAGAGGGGTAAAGCGCGAGTGAATCATGCTTCGCGCCCTACACGGCCTGTTCGATTCTACAAGCTAGGAAATACAGCTACTGACCGTCCCACTGACCTTCAGCCTTTCCTTCGATTTGAGTGCAGACCCCGAGAGAGAGGAGCGAGAGGCTTGGTGCGAAGAGCCATCGCCTTCCCCCGCCATCTCCAGCACTCCGCTCTCGTTCGTTCCCTTGTTGAGTTAGTCTGCCCTTCACTGCGATCTTTTTTTAACACTTAAGTTTCCTTAAGTTAGTGGCGTTTTGACGCAAAAGAGGTCAAAGAAAAAGAAAAAATAGCGCGCGCGAGCGCTAAAAAGCCAGAAAAATCCTAGGCCCTACCGCGTTGAGACCGCAGGCGCTTCCCGCCAAAAGTTGATTGACGCAGTTGACGCAGTTGACGCAGTGGACGCAGAGGACGCAGTGGACGCAGTCTGACGCAGGCGACGCAGTCAGTTGACGCAGCCGACGCAGTCGACGCAGTTGACGCGCTTGACTGATGGGGTTTGACGTCATTCAATGCGGCAAGTTGCTGCGTTAAATATTTCTCCCACACTTACAGCTGTCTTCCTGGCGCAAAATCCGACAAAACACGCTATAGTCGGCTAAATCAAGCAATAAAATAAACTGTGTCGCGTTTAAATAACACTGATGTCGTGATTGCTTCAACAGAAGGCAAATGGGAGAAGATTTCTGCCATAGCCGCACCAAGCCGCAGGCGACGCATTTTGTTCGGCAGCAATCCAAATTTGGAATGGCGATTTTATTTGAATCCACCAATCAGGTGCCTTTTTAGTTCATGCGGCCCGCGCGGGTTATGCTTCGAACGTTTTTTCGTGAAACGAATTTATAACTTTTCGAAAGTCGACGGAATTTTCATCGTACAGACAGCGAGAGCAGAATGGTAAGGTTTCTTTTGATATTTGATAACACAAAATTATGGCAAATAATCCATAACAGCGAGGCCGAGGGAATGGTTGAATACAAGCCTATAAATATCTTTCGTTTGGGCAATCTGTAACCTTTCGACTTGTTGTTCCTCTGGTTTCTACGGTTTTGTTGATCATCTGCATGATATCAATTCTTCGACTGGAGTGACAGTAACCATTTAGACTATCAGACATCCTTATTAAGTCCAGCAACGATAATAACAAAAGCGTAAATCAAAATTCACAAAAGATCTCACCGTGTATTCTCGTTGCACAACAGTTATTCGAAGGACCTTTTGTCGATTTCGTGACAGTGTCCTTTCATTGGTTTATGGTACGGCACATGGTGTTGTTTTCTGTTAAGATTCTTCATTTTATTTTAAACTAACCCATAGCTATAGAATTACGTCGTAAGTTCCAGCGACTTCAGATAAGTTATTTTATATTACTGTTTTAAAATCACGCCCACAGTGTAGTGATTAAAATTGACATCTTGATTTCATTGATCTTGAAATTTTAATTTAATAACGGTAATATGCCTTAGTGGAGTCCAAATTGTTTGGAGCATCTTACAACCGAAAGTGTAATATTGGACTATAAATGATTTCTTTTTTGAAGTTTTAAGCAGCTTTAGACTAGATATGTGTTTGAGAAGCTGTTATAGTTGATCAACTGCAGAGATTCCAACCATTCCGATTTGATCGGGAGACTCCCGATTTGATGTGTTGCCTCCCGCTCTCCTGATTCATATCAAATTCTCCCAATTTATCATAAAATTGTGAAAACAAGGGGGAAAAAATGCTAATCTTGAGAATTTTGTGCAATGTATTACACTTTCTTCTTGTATTATCCCCCCAGTCTCTCACCGAGTGTTGTGCAGACTCATCAGGCCACCAGTCTTACTCCATTTAGCAGCTCAAAAAAGATGGATTAACAACAGTAAAGAACAGCCCAAAGATGTCTGTGATAAGAATAAACTAAAGACCTTATAGAATAACTCAGAAATGATGTCAAAATGCAGGAAAAGGCATTTGAGAAAACCTAAATTTGCAAAATTTCCCAGGGGGCATGCCCCCAGACCCCCCTAGAGGCTGGCGCCTTTGGCGCTAAAAGAGTCTCCCTATTTTCCTTCAAAAGGGGTTGGAATCTCTGCAACTACGACCACAGGCAGACCACTCTCTGTATTCATGGTTAATAATTGTTTATACGAAACAAACAGAATCTGTGAGGGTTATGAATAAAGCTCTCAAAATTGCATATCTTAATTACATCTTGGTCTGAATATCCCAATTATGTTAAATGCAATGTTAATCGATTCATTTGGTGTTTTTTCACCTTCCTGGGCTGTCTAAAGCATCTTTAACGAAATTACTATTGGGTGGAGACAGTTAAGATGAGAGGGAGACAAGGAGACAAAGCTCGCAACTAGGCGGCTGCCAGCCACAACCTCCTCCACTTTAAAATGGAATTAACGCCAAAATACTGAAAATCTCACCTCAGTGGCAATTGTTGGTGATTGAGGAGATATTTCTCTATCTCTTCGCCAAATTTGAGCATACCTCCAACATTTTCAGAGAAAATCAATGCTGTAATCAGGAATACAGCTTTCTCAATATGATCGTTGCCAAACTCAGCAACCAAAGGAATTCAAGGCATGCAGGCCATTTCAAATCTACCAATCAGCACTTGGCATCCCACGGCGGCCAAAAGTAATTTCATAAAAAGACACTTCAGATGGCCCAGGAAGGTGAAAAAACACCACACATGAGTCCATTAATGCTTCATTTAACTTTATTGGGATATTCAGACTGAGATGTAAATTTAGATATGCAATTTTCGGAGCTTTTTTCATAACCCTCATAGATTCTGTTTGTTTCATATAAACAACTATTAACCGCAAACACATAGAGTGGTTTGCCTGTGCTGCAACGCACAAGAATGTGTTCGGGAATGCAGTGTCAAGACAGTTCTGTTACTGACCACATTAACTTTGGTAATGGAAAACGTGGGAAGGTCATGGAATTTTAAAAGCTTTAAAGAGTATGTACCCCCACTAATGAAATCAACCAGGTTTCAATTCATTTGGCTTTTCAAAACTGGAAGCTGGGAAAGTTGAGAAAATTGAAGTGTTTGGTGTCTATCACACTGTTAGTAAATCTACTTTCAAACCCAAAAGTGATTGTTTACAATTGGTAATTTTGTTGCTGACAGCAGCATCAGAGAAACCTGTCAGTGGAAGTCAAAAAAATAGTTTTTTCTACATGTCGTTATTTGTACCTGAGCGTCCCACACACCACTGGCTTCCAATTCTTATTAGCAGTGAAATACATGTATTTTCATTAGTGCTTATGGTTGACACATAAAGCTCATGTATTTTGCCATCCTCTTTAGGCTGATCAACTCACAGAGGAACAGATTGCTGGTAAGGACTGAAATACTGTAACCTCCCACAAAAAGTCATGGTACTAATTGTTCCAAGGGCTTTTTGTGGGCGTATTTTTGTAGGAGGTTTTTGGTTCGATAAGAGTTTATGCATCTGAAGGGTTTGGGCACCCAAGAGTGTGTTCCATTGAGATGACCTTGATCAGGATCAATGATCCAATATCACTTGGATAATGCTGTATCAAAAGAACCAAAGCAGTGTATACATGTATGTTGCAATGTGTTCTTTTAACATTAATTTTAATGTGTGTGTTATCTCTGGCTTGCAGAATTCAAAGAAGCATTCTCACTGTTTGACAAGGATGGAGATGGTACAATCACCACAAAGGAACTGGGAACAGTAATGAGGTCTCTTGGACAAAACCCAACAGAAGCAGAACTTCAGGATATGATCAATGAAGTGGATGCAGATGGTATGTTGATGTAGTAGAATAGAAATTCTATTGTGATCTGCCATACATGTACATATACTGTTGCTTTTTTCAGTTCCGTTTGTACCCCATTGCCTGTCACCCTCAATCTCTCATATGTCCAATACACCCGAGCCATAACAGGTCGCAAAAGGGGTGACGGATTAACCGGTTCGACCGTCACACCGGAAGTCATGTCACGAAAAGGGATAGCAGAAATAAACAGGCGAATGAAGTGTGTGAATACTTGTTCTAAAAAATGGGGGGCCACAAACGTTTGCACAAGTTTAAAGAACGACGCACGCTAATGATGAGTCTCGCGAACTGTCAAACGGTCACAAATCGTCACCATCCGTCCCGATTGGGACGGCCAACATTTTCACCTCCCTCCATAATACCGCCATAAAAATTATTTTAAGTCTCTCGCGAATGAACAAACTGTCACGAATCGTCACCATCCATCACAGGTTGTCATGATCTGTCCCGATTGGGACGATCCGCCGACAATTTCACCCCCCTTCATAGTACAAATATGTTTTTTTCTAAGTTCCTTGCGACCTGGCAAACGGTCAAGTGTTGTTACCATCCATCCCAAACGTGATGATCTGCTGACATGTCGCAAACTGACAAACGGTGATGGGCCGTCAAGATCTGTCACGGACCGTCACCAGTTTGGCGACCTGTTACGGATCGGATGTATTGGCAACCCTCCAATCTCTTCTCCAGAGGCTGTGATTCTTTTTGTAAGCACCAAGAATTGAAACCATTGACTTAATCAGAAGGCAAACCAGCATTTATCGCAGCATTTGCTCTTTCTAGACATTTCACAAACCATTATTGAAGTTAAATACTTGCACAATCAAACTGGAATCACATGATCCTGGTTTCAGTTTTTTTATATTGGTATTTCGTACAGAGTGTCAGACATCTGGTTGCTGCTGGCTGAAAATGCATGGGAATTGTGTCTTTTTCCAAAGTGTTTTAATGACCAGTTCCCTTGCTTACATTTTGTTTTCATAAACAGGTAATGGAACAATTGATTTCCCTGAGTTTCTCACCATGATGGCAAGGAAAATGAAAGATACCGACAGTGAAGAGGAAATCAAGGAGGCTTTCCGAGTGTTTGACAAAGACGGCAATGGTTTCATCAGTGCTGCTGAGTTGCGACATGTTATGACAAACCTGGGAGAGAAACTCACAGATGAAGAAGTGGACGAGATGATCAGGGAAGCAGATATCGATGGCGACGGACAAGTCAATTATGAGGGTAAGGAACACTGTTGAAACATTTTCTAAGAAGCATGCAGAAGCTTGTTGTTAAACTTGCATTGGCAGAACAGTTTTGTAGTGCGACACTTGTGCAGTTATGTTGGGAGTATAAAGTACCCTTTTTGCTTCCTAGCTAAACACGTGTAGTTCAGTAATCAAGGCTGTGGTCTAAGAAAAATTTCAATGAGCCTAGAGGTTCCTAACCATGAAATCCTGGGTGCCCAGCACTTAGGCTTATATGAAAAAAGTCAGCTTTCCCAGTTGCTCAAAGTCAAAAGTTAGTAGCCTGTGGCACCCAGGCACTTCTAGAGCACAGCCCAGGTAATCATACACTATTATTTGTGCAAGCAAGTGAGTTGTGTCTGGATACCACTGAACATGTCTACTTGTACAAATCCAAGATTCAGTGTTCCGAGATACATTTTGTTTTGTCTCTGTCCTTGCAGAATTTGTGAAGATGATGACATCAAAGTAAACATCTGAACTTATGCCAGATTTGTCGACCTTCAGAAGCCATTTTGGTGTATTATACTTCATGTAACACTCAACCAGGAGTGCATCATCACCTTTGGTCCTATAATGACAGTGTGTGTAGATAGCACGGAACAACTTCAAAAGTGAAGAGTTCAATATTTGCTAGAAACTCTCCTCTTGTGCTGTACTATATTTCCAGTCATTTGTGTTTATAATTTATTGTCAGACTTGTTTTGTTGGAGCATTAAAGGGCCACTATAAGAAGATTAGTGAGTGTTGTGTGTTTTGTTAATAAAATGAAGAAGCCAACCCTCGGAAGGGAAAAACATGGCGACTGGTACATTTACCCAAAATTCATAGTACAGGAAAGTTCTAAAGCCTTCAAACCTAACAGGAACATTGTTTTCAGTACAGGGACAAGTATTGCAAAAAAAAGGCTGTCCGTGTGCATAATAGGCTATAGGTATAATGTACAGGCACTGTCTGGGTTTATTTTCGTCCTTGTGGCAACTACTGCAAACTGGGAAGATCATTAACCACTCCTGCTGTATGATTGGCTGCCCAAGCAGGCAGGCAAAATCGGTACGGAAAGAATTTCATTCCCATAGCCCAGAAGTAGATTCTTTGAGTATCCTTCACTTGTCTGTCTTGTGGTGAGTTAAGAAAATTACCATAAGAAATTGAATTAGCTTAGTTTGGGTTTCTGTGATTGGTACCATACGGGTCTTCCCCCGGCCCTAATTCAGTAGTTGATATTGCACCAGTGATTTGCGCTTTTCAAAAAGTAAGGGACATGGATCAGTGTTTTGGTCTGGTTTGTTCACATGGCTGCTGGGTAGGGTAAAAGTGGCTGCCGCTGGTGTCTTTCCGTGCTGACTTCTGGATTCTGCTCCTGAGTTGAATTGTAAATTACGTTTAAACCTTGGAAAAAATTAACTACAGTGGAGCCCTGTTAATCTGGTCACCAATGGGCCACAAAAATCTGGCCAAGCTTTTGTATGGGCCAGAATAAAGTCGTGCTACCACTGTTCATAACCTTATGGAAAGGCTGACACGTAGCAGTAGGGAAATAACTTTTGTGGAGCCGCTATTCTCTCTATAATCTTCCCTGGCTAGAGTAAAACCTTGAAAAGATGTTTTATACTCAAGCAAAGCTGCAGTAGTTTGAAACAACCTCGACGTGAGTTGTTCTCTCGAGAGAACCTGAGAAAGAGTACCTTTCATATTCGCGCCAGTCTTCCGCGACATGAACCCAAAATGGCGGAGATGTTGGTTGTGGTTGTTAGTCCAATATGAAGCATCAGCATGTCTCTAAAAGATTCCACGCGATGATTGCATGCACAGAATAACTCTTCAACAAGCGTTTACAAATGTTTGTTCGTGCAGGGCAACCGGAACTCGTTCGTTCGAACCAAAAAGATGTGTACTATCTCGGTTTCTTGAGAGAGGGAATTGGACAAATTTACAGGAATTTCCGAGGTGTGCTCTGTCAATTTCTTTACTTAAATATACTGAAATGCCCTTGTATGTTGACGTTATATCTCCTTTGCTGGATAATGAACATAATTTTTTAACTCGTTGATTACTCTTTGTTAAGAATTAATCCCTTGATAAAACAGATTCCCGCACAAAGAAAAACGTGAAACTTAATTCATTCTCTTTTTAATATAGAGTCTGTCATTCTTGTCCTTGTCGAAATTTGTAATTCATGGAAATTTCAACTAAAATAATATATAGTTTAAGTAATTCACCAATAACATATTAATTTTAAGGTCCATTCTCTTGGATCAAATGGAAAGCAGAGTTGGAGCTTCTAGCTGATGTCTGTTATTTTGGAATAACTACAATAAGTGGTATGTTGCAGAATGGTTGCCTTAATTTTGCCCCATGGTGTGCACATGACATGTACAATAATGATGATTTCTTTGTCTTCTTGTTAGCTTGATAAGGAAAATTGGTAGACCTTTTTGGAACTCAATTGTTGCTGGAACATTACTTATGATAATGATGGAGGTTTGAACAGAATGATACCAGTTTCGCCCCCACCGAGTTTGCCCCCACTATAAAATTTCTATTTCGAGTTCGCCCCCAACTTTTAGTGTTTGTGTTTACGTATTTGCCATGAGTTATTGAACATTTTCGAAGAACCATTTCAGTCTATGTATGTTTGCTTGTTCGCGATCGCATAACAACAAAGTCGAACAGTTACTGGTCATCTTGCCACAAGGGAGTCTCGCCACCAATGAAGTCTCCACCAAGGGAAGTCACCTCGCCACCAAGCGAAGTTTCCTCACCACCAGTGATCTAATGAGGCAGTGGATAAAAGAACGAGGAATAATTTCTATATGCGACTTGATCTGGTTGGGGGCGAACTCGATCAAGTTGAGTTGATGTGGGGGCGAACTTGGTGGGGGCGAACTCGCCATGTGGCGAAACTGGCAGCTACCTTTGAACATGACTCTGAATTACACTGTTCACCACCTCTCTATTTTTCAATGCACCCGAAAGAAAAGGCGAGCAAAGTGAGAGTGAAGCACATGGGGCTGGGGATAACACACGAAGAATAGAGAGACTGTGGACATCTTTGGAAAAAAGTGGTTTTATTAGGTTCCACCCTCTGTAATCACCTTGTCGCTAACAGCTCCGCCTCTTGGCTAATTAGGTACATGTAAATTGGTTCAATTAAATTTTAGTGGTCACTTGCTCATTTAATTGATTATAAGTTCAGTCTGCAAACAGCAGCACATACATTCAGGTGTTGAGGATGTTGTCTCTGGCAACTATTACTTCACAAAAAAAAAAAAAAAAAAAAAAAAAA